TGTACGGAATACTGAAGTGTTTGGAATATTGAAGTGTACGGAATACTGAAGTGTACGGAATACTGAGCTCTTACGCCACTCTAACCATGTGTTAATCACAGAAACTCATATCATGATAACGATAAAACCCTGCAGAGTACGAGACAGAGTGAGGAGTGTCAGCTTGAGGGCATTTTTTTTTCAGAATGAAGACATTTTAAGTCAGTCTTTAGAGGAACTGAAGAGCAAACAGTGGAACATCATCACACTGACAACCACGCTGAGCTGCATGGAGAGCAGGAAAAACTGGAAAGTGAGAGAAAAAATCTAAACGTGACAAAGATTGTGTTGACTGTACTCCAGAAACGAAACAAACAGATCAGGACAGATCAGCTGAGACTGATTCCAGAATGTTCCAGGAGGGAGTGGGAATGACTGCTCCCTGCAGAGCTCCTGCCCAGCTGAGGAAACCTTGGTCTAATGTAGTTTATGAAAAGCTCAGAGAGAAAAATCCCAGCTGCACACTTTCATTTCACTATCAACATGTCAGGAATCCAAGCAGCAGAAAGAAAAGATGACCATATTTGAGAGTGAGCACAGGGAGCACTTGTTCCACTGGTAAAGCCACATTTTTAAAAAGAAGAGACCAGTTAAAGGTCAAAAGGTCACGATCCGAGTGTGACAAATAGGACAGTCAGACATCTCAGAGCAGAGAAGACATTCAGTTGTAACATCAGAGGGGAAAAACTGCAGAGATGATCGGTCAGTCGAGCTCTGAGTATCACAGACGACTGGCAGCTGCTGCTCCTCAGGGACTGACGGCCGGCAGCATCACCAGGAGTTTAACTGAGACTGTTCTTAAAGTCGCCTTCGCCATGACGTCATCATGGAGCTGGTTTTGTCTGTCGAGGAATGTGACGGTGGAAGTTACAGTTATGACCCAGTCTGGGTTTGGGCCGAAATAGTGAATGTTTGATAACCTTGTGTGTAACGGCAACAGCTTATGGTATGTGGGATGAGTGAAGGGGAACAAACGGAGAAGTGGAGAGAATAAGTGAAAAATATATTGTAAGGAAATTTGTACAAAGGCAAACAGCAGATTTGACTTCAGATGCCAAAAATAACAAACAACCCCCCCAAAACCAGCCCTATTTCACATCCTAACATAACCACAAAGAAAAGAAAACAAAAGACAGTCCGCTTACCTGAGACTCCCTAACTGACCACAAACAGACATACAAACCTTCACGCCCAGCTCAAACAGTGACCACCCTACAGCTGATGAGACTAAGTACAAAATACACAAAGGTGAACTTATGTCAAAAAATGAAAAAAAACAAAAAAACAATAATATAGATCTGAGGTTTTGTCCCAATAGCAATGATATGCAAGACAGCAAAGGCAAAAGCACAGGGTCAAACTGATCTCAGAGTCACAAACAAAAGTCAAAGCACAAAAACAGTAACCCTAACGATACAGCCAAAAGCACAGTGACCACGCTAATCAGCACAGACTGGCAGTTTACATCCCCGGGACGTGACGTGGAGCACACTAGCCAAGACACAGAGCACGAGACACTGGGCGCGAGGACCACAGAGTGAACTCTGAGCAGAGGAGCGAGATATGGAACAAACTAGAAATGGGGCTGCAGTGCCTGGAGAAGAGAGAGACTCACTGCATACATAGTGAAGCGTAACAATGTGCAGCACCTTCAGACTGACCCTTTGCTTTGCACATATACACTGAAACAGGACTTGGAATCCTTGTGCAGCATTTGCAGCAGAAAAAACAAGTGAATCTGTATGTTGGTGGAGTCAGAGCAGTGCTGTATTACAGAGATCCTCAACAATGAGCCTTCAGCTCCTCTGATGACATTCAGGTTTTCACAATTTCAGCTGAAGTTGTCAAAATACACCTTGATGAAGGTCAGTAAGATTGAAACAGACCGTAGCTGGGCATTAGTGCAGAGTTCTCTGTTAGCATTCAATAAGGAGGATGTAATAACATGTTTGGAGAGAGTTGTGGGAATCGAACAAGGAAAGAAACCCAGAAGATTAGACAAACTAAAAAAGCTTAGACAAACAGAACAATTTGCAGCCTTCTGTTTTGCAGTGTTGCAAAATTGTGTCCTCCTGGATGCAGCTGCCAGGATTTTTGGAAACGTGTTCAGTATTTGGGACCAAAATAGAAACCGAAAAGGTACAGCAGAGCATCCAGTTTCTCAGAGACCACATTGCTGAAGTCAGTGTTTCAGAGGCCAGTGAGGACTTTAGAGCTGCACTTCCTGAAGACGGAGATCATAAAGTAGCAACAAGTTCTGTGAGAAGATCCCAATAAATAGTAATTTATTCTCATGCATGCTGACCATTTCTTTACGGAGCATTTCATAGTTTACCCGCCTCTCTGTTTATGGGAGCTACTGTATGATTTACTGACACCATTTACCGAGTTTCTTAGTTAGTACCCAGTTTTATCAGTCGGCCTTCACCAGAGTTCGTTACAGTACAGCAGTTACTATGGCCAAAACACAGGAAACTGGGACTGACCCCCTTTTTATTTTATAGATCAAAACATTGAATATTTTAATGATACACTGACCACCAAACTGGAAATGTCCCCGGTTTCATTTCAGAAATCTGGGCACCTTCAGTAACATGACCCAGCTAAG